TGCATCGTGGTCTATGTATTAAATGGCTTTCTATATCAGGTTTGTGATGATTTGTTTTTCATGTATTCTGTAGATTGAATTTGGCACTTTTAGTTCTTGTACATTTGCACTGTATTGCGTGTTGTGTATTACATTCATTCAATTCATATTAGTGTGTTTCATTTTCAATTAACATATCAGATGTAACTTGCAGTTTTGAAAATTTGACTGTCATAGTTCTCATTCTTGATTAATGTTAGTGAGCTTACAATTTTCAGAACCATTAGGTTTTAAACACTGCTTTTTTTTACCTCACATAATATTTCCTGGATGTTTGGTTTTAGTTTAAACAAGAACCAAGAAAGGTAACTTCAGACATTAGGCAACTCAAAACCTGTGTTTAGCTAAAATAGAAATACTAATAAAGAAAAGTGTTTTAGCATGTTTCTTTGTTTGCCATTGGCAGCTATGACATTTGCATTCACATTTGCAATGTGTCAATGTTTGTTTCTTGTTCCTAGAGAGTGCATGTTTGTGTGGCAGCATTGGACACTTATTTATTGATCTTTGGACAATAGTAGAATTAACATAATGAGGTCTATAGAGGTATAATCCATCGTAAAAAAAGAAAAAAAAAATGTCAAACATACTGGCGTGTTGCAGTTTGAGACCCAAGATGTGAAAATATTGATGAAGTTGTTTTATTGAACTGTTCTATGAGTGCATGCTGTAGGCATTTGCATGGTGTTTGACTATTTTATCTAAATGAAGCATATATTATGTCATTAGAAGCAGGTCTGTGGATTTAGAGCTTTGTATTAGGTGTGGGACTTGGTCTGTATGACTGTTAATGCACATGCGCATGTATATTCAAGTCAACATATTCAATTCCCCTTTAATCTGCAATAACCAGATAAACATTCCCCCTTCTCTAACCTGCCATATTCAGATAAACATTTCCCTTTCTCTTATTCGCCATATTTAGATAAACATTCCCCTTTCTCTAACTTGCCATATTCAAATAAATGGTCCTTTTTTCCTAACCAATTCCTTTTAAAGCCAATCCCTTTATTATACTATCTTAATGATTCCTTGAAATATAGTTAAGATTTTAAAGTGAAGGTGATCATTCTTTGACCCTCTAAAACCATTCTCTTTATGTCTGATTTCTCACAAAAACTTCTCAACCTATGAATTCTTCCATTTAGAATGATGCCATCCTGTTTAATTGACACAAAAGAAAACTACAATCATTATTACAGACAAATTAATGATAAAATGGTTATAAAGATTTCATTTTAAATGGTACAGAGAAAAAGTAAGATGAAAACACAGAAATAAGATAAGAAACAGGGGCACAACCAAGTGAGACTGTAATAACATGAATTTAATGATTGATAACGTCTTCAGATCAAGCTGAGCCGAGTTCCAACGCCATATCCAAAGGAAATGAAAGAGAAGCTGAGGCACACGCGGAATATGCAAATGAGGCAGTTAATAACCAATGGAGACGTGCGGTGGAATTCTTCATCTGGGAGAGGTCCTGACGCAGTGGATGGAGAGCAGGGAGAGGTAAGAGGGGGAGACGGGATTTGTTGAGTAAACAGTGCTTTGTTGAATATAAAACAGAACACAAGATGATGCAGCTTGTTTGTTTATTTTGAAACTCTTCTTGATTTAAGCTTTATAGATCTAGGAACTGTTTTGAAACATAATTCTTAATTACTCTCTAAAAGACTGATATGAATTAACCATCATTCCCTAAGGATTACTTTTTTTCGTTGGTTTAGCATTTCAATTAACAGTTTTTTCCTTTTCTTCCCTCTATTTGTCATTGTATTTTACTCATCGTCTTTTATGACTCTTGGCTTTAATTTTGTCATCATACTTTCATGAGAGAGTTTTTATTAACTTATGTATACATTCCTTAACATTAACCCAGCAGGTGTTTGGTTTATGATTGTGTAATATTTGCATTTTTGATACTTTGTAATATTGTAATATCCCATTTGATTTTAAGTTGATATAAAAGTTATTTTGCACCCTGTAGCGTATTCCCCACTAATCTTCTGTTTGTTCCAACTTGAAAAGTAAAATAATCAAATCTAGCATGGCTTTAAAGGTGTGAAATAAAAACTCTTAGATACAGACTGCAATACACTGTATACACAGTTACTAGATATGATTCTATTTTTAATTCATTTTTATTTTGATTTAATTTTTATAACTGTTTATAGTGGTTATAGCACACTAAGTAGCTAGCTGTTATGTTTCTAGCCTCCTCCCCCTGGTCCTGGTGCCCCGCCTACTGACAGTGCTGCTATGGTGACTGTAGGAGATACTAGTGGGCGGGAACCACACAAGACACACCCACAAAGACACTCCCCTCTGCTTCAGGAGATGCACTATATGTATAAATTTGACAAGGTACATTGATGACTGGTCACTTGTCACATGTCATGTGCTTTTTTTATTTCCATTTCCCCCCACTTAATTTGGATGCATGATATCCAATATGGAGGAGAGTTTTTGGCAAATTCTCTGCCCTTATTTACTGAATTAATATATGAAGTTTTTGAAGTTTCCTAAAAAGGGAATAGAGACTGTGGTAACATATTCCCTAACAAGAAACTCGTTGTGAACAAAATCTTAAGCACAATATTGCAAGTATATTTTTATTACTTTATTTGTTGCAATTATCTTTCTGCTTCTAATTTATCAGCATTCAGTTCAAAGATGTTGTCCATTAAAAAGAGTGACACCATTACTGCCCTTTGTCTTTTAATGAGCTTACCAATGTTTACCAGGAAAAACTACTGAAAGACAAGGCCCGTATGCAGCAGAAGCAGAACTCTCCTGACAAGGAGGTAGAAAATGGTGCCAGTGCCAGCAAGCCTAAGTTGAAGAACAGCGGCCAAAAAGAAGGTTCTCCTGTGAAATCTGAAGTCCAGCAACAGAAAGTGGACAGTAAGAAAGGTAGGGCATTTTTGATGAAAAAAAGATATTATAAATATATTTGGCAGAATTATTGGTAATTGATCAGTGTAAATAAATTAATACAAATTTATTGGTTTATTGAAGTGGAATGTTTTTTTCCAGGAAAGAGAAAAAATGATGAAGATGATGGCGGATTCCTTGAGGCAGCTTCATCCAGGTCGGAGCGCCGCGTCAGTCCTCAGAGAAGTCTGGACAACAGTGAGGCATTCCTCATCAAAACCCCAGGGTACAATACCCCGGGGCCCAATGGGCTGGAGATCATCTCAGAGTCCGGCTCCAACAGTATTAGTTACAAATCCCAAGTCCCAGTGAAGTCCGATGCTCCTATCCCAGCTGACAAGTATGCCCGCTACAAGCAGCAAGTGAAGAATGTGATCTTAAACCGGCTGGAGTTCAGCTCAGATACTGGGTATCTGTACCAGAAACAGAAGACGCGCTATGATGGCAGGAGAGGCACTAGGAGCACCAAGGACTACGACTCTGATACAGGCTACAGAAGTGACTATGCCCTGTACAGACCCAAGCTCCACCAGCAACAACAACCCAGACCTTTGACAGTGGGCAGCTTTGCCAGTGACTGGGAAATGAGAGCCAAAATTCAACAGAGTGCCACACAGGAAGGCTACACCAGTGACTCAGAGGGTTTACTACAGAGAGGAAAACTAGATTATGACCACCCCCTGGGTCGACCAGGGCAGCTGAAGTACCCTGCCCTAAGCCTACCAGAGAACATGCACAATGCCAACCCAGGGAGCAGTTTTACCATGCAGCAGCAGCAGCAACAGCATCAACCCTCCCCAGCCTGGAGTTACACCACCACAACCAATATCACCCCCAGCAGCGTGCCGTATGCCAGACGGACTCTGATCCGTAATGATGAGCTGTATGACAGCCAGCAGACACCTGGCACAGGTGGGCCGAGGAAGGACACTGACAGTACCCCCACTGTGCTGTCCAGGTCAGCTCATAACCTGTATGGAGACACCTCCACCCATCAGACACGTATTGAGGTGAAGCCTAACAAGGATGACTGGAGGACAGAGCTGTTTTCTGTGCTGGAGAGGAAGAGGCAGGAGGCAGCTAGTGGCAAGAGAGAAGGGCAGCCAGGACCAGGGAAACCACCAGAGCAGGTAGTATATCTGGCTCTTCTTGAATCTGTTGAAGTAATAATATTTTAAAAATTTTTTCATGGATGTCAAGTTGTTATGAGAACAACAATATATGAAAATGTCCAAAAATTACTATTGGAAAGTATTTTTATGTGAAGGCACAATGTGTCTGTACATAAAGTCATTACATGAGTCTGTTGTCAACATCAGCATTGCCTTGCACTTTTCACCATTAAATCAATTTTATGGAAAACGTTCTGATTTCATTTTCTTAATGGAGTGATTTATGAGTCTAAAGTACAGGTCAGGTATAAAAAGAAGTTTTATGGCATTATTTTTGTTGAAGTTATGCAGTTTTTTGTTGAAGTTTTCATATTTCTTGTATTGGCATTTAATGTGTATTTATAAAATCTAATGAGCTTGGACCCCAATATTATTTACATTTTCAGAATGTCATTGTTACCTGTCATTATTAAAAATTGGCGGTTATTATGCTGTTAATTATTATGTGATATTGCATCAAAATTGCCAAAAAATTTATTAGGCATTAGCATCATTTTCTGCTTTATATGTATGTACATTTGGAAGCTTTGCTATTTTGTATACTACATTATTGAAATATGACAGAAGAGTGCATGATGTTCAGTTTCTTAGCATTTCAAATAATGTCATTTTTCCAAGTATTGGAATATTTTCACTTTTCCATCCACTTGGGTCACAACCAGATCTCCATCCTGGTTGATGGTACATCCCCATGGTTTATATAGTCCATCAGCTTGGGTTGCTATGTACTGGATGAACTTCCCATCTGGGGATACAAGGTGTATGCAGTGGTTATCGCGATCAGTGACCAGTATGTTGTCATAGGCATCAACGCAGACACCAGGAGGTGGACTTAACTTATCAGGTCCTGTGTACTGATACAGTGGGTCACCAGATGGGGTTAGGATGTGAAGTTTGTTTGGTGATATATCATTGACAACAAGGCACCCATTCCTCATATATGCCACTTGATATGGATTACTGAACAACTGCTCCCCATCTTTGTCCTTTATCACACCAGTTAAAGTTATTTGCCCTTTTATATCAATACTGATAATGCTCACAGGTTTTTCTTTATAACCCTGTGCCACAGCAATTTTAGTGCAGCTCTTATTGAGAGCCACACCATATGGGTTGTTGACATCTACAATTTGCTGTACTTCCCACTGTGGTGACAGAATGAACAGTTTGTTATTGCCTGAACCAGATAGAACCAACCTTCCATCAGGGAAGTGACAGATCCCTACTGGAAATTTCAGCTGTGTATCTGAGACACTTGTAATCTCTTGCTTTGATGTACCATCTGAACTAAAAACCTTGACCTTGTTATCCCTGTCATGTATAGTAACATATTCCCTGTTTGGACTCACTGAAATGTCCACTGGCCTCTCACAGCCAGTGTAAAACTCCAGCATACATTCAGCCTTTGGTTTGATCTTGGGCAAAGCTGGTTGTCTAGATATCTGCACATTCCCCAGGCCAGCCCCACTGGATATCTCTTGGTCCACATCTGTGTTGGTGGTGAGTGTGAGTTTTAGTTCCTCTGGAATATCATCCACATCTGAAGTGGACTGTAGCTCATCTAGTCTCTGTCCAAGTTGGTGTTGTAACGTGAGGACATCTATGGGAGCACCCTGCTGAAGTATGTTTTTTAGTACATCTGTTGTGCTTTTGATAGAGGAGCAAGTGGCACTGCAGTTTTTGCGTGAAATTTGTAAATTATTTCTGTGAGAGCTGGTGGTTTGATGAAGCTCCTGTACTAAGGTTTTCTCTCGTTGATTAACCAGTTGACGTAGATGATTTGCACGAGCTTTGATCTTCTGCTGAACAAAGCTTTCATTTTCTTGGAGGGTTGCCAATATTTCATCAATCTTAGCTATTGTTTTCTCACCTGTTTCAAATTTTTTCTCCATGCCACAGAATTTGGTCAGAAGTTTTGGCTTTACCATCTCTGCAGCTTTTTCAAGGGTGATAAGTTTGTGACCATCATGGTGTAGAATTCTGCAGTCACGACAAATGCTGACATTGCAGTCTGAACAAAAGTATCGTATCATCTCACCTTTGTGCTCTGGGCAGATAATCTTTTGCTGCTCTTGGATTTCTTTTTCATACTCACTGCTGTGAAGTTGTTGAAAAGTCAGCACCTTGTGGTCTTTAGTGAACTTGGTACCACAGTGAAATGGAGAACACTTCTCACATAGGTAGTCATGGCATGTGATGCATTTTGAAGTAGCCACTGTTTCTGTTTGGGACACCAAAGCACAAGAGCTGCACTTTTTCGTATGTGTTAACTGAAGTACAGTGTCCTGCAAGCTTTCAATGAAGAAATTGTGAGTGAAGCCCTCAAGGCCATCTTTAGGTACTTCAGTTTCTTTCTGACACACAGGACATGGTAATTTACTTCCTGGTGTTAAATCAGAAATATAAGTCTTCAGACAACCCTTACAAAATGTATGCCTACATGGTAAATCTGTTGGGTCCTTATACTCCTCAAGGCACAAAGAACAGCTCACAAAGTAGTTGACTATTTCAGTTCTTAAACTTGCTGCTTGTGGACTTTCAGTTACACCCTTGAGGTCTGCAGTAGCCATTTTCCTTTTTGATTCAGTCTCCAGTTGTTGTCCTGCGCAGATGTCTGTTAGTTCACCTGATTTGACCTAGTTCTTTTCTATAAGTTACCTGTATAGGGATTTGGGTCAGCATTTTTTCTGACCTTTACTGTGTTCATGTTATTGATTTTACATTAAAACTGCCACTGGACATGATGGGAATTTGTATTTATTATGAAAATATTTTGTCAAGTTTTTTGTCCTGTGAATGAAGGAGCTTTAGTATGAAATGCTGGTTAAGCTACAGGTGTTGTTTATATGTTTATGTAGGGAGACAGTCAGAGGGTGTGTGTGTAGTAAGAGAAGTCAACTGTTTTCAGTGATATATTGTATAAGCACTGGTAAATCTACAGATAGTGTGGAGGTATATGGTGTATGTATACTGTATATGTATATCTCTAAGGTTACTTCTCATATGGGGCAAGATTTTTAGAATTTTATGACAAACATTTCATTTTTCTTTTTTTATTTCATTTTTATTTCATTTTTCTTATTTCATTTCTTGTATTTTTACTTCTGAGTATTTCATCATTTCAAAGTCATTTCAATTATCTCCCCTCACACATTCCTCTTTAATTCCTGAAGCCCTAGTTACACACCCTGAATGTCCATGTTACCAGGAGTGCATAATGAATTTTTGATGGTAATTATGCCTTTGAGCATTATGTAATATTGCAACAAAATAGTCCCCCCCCCCCAAAAAAAAAAAACATATTGTTCGATGGCATCATTTTTTTCTGCATTGTGTCTGTACATTTGACAGCTTTGCTGCTTTGTTTTGTGTTTCCTTTGCACAATTCTCACATAAACCATCATCTGTATTCATTTCTAATCTCCATCCAGGCTCCTCAGGACAGAAGTTTCAGCACTCACACCAGTGATGACGAGGTGTTTGCCCCTCCCCCCTACAGACCTGCACCCCCTTACTCCCCTAAGTCTGCCAGAAGAGAGCAGACACCTGCCAACATGCTGGGGAACAGGTCAGGCAGGGATCTGGTGCCAAGGGACAGCAACTCTAACTCTCCACAGGTGGGATCAGGAGATGGCAGTGGGGTTATCAACAACAACAAACGTGGTGGGGGTGGGGTGTATCCTCCAAACTACGGTCCCAGGCCGGACCACAAGCCCAGGATATTCAAACCTGCAGGAGATGGTCAAGAGAGTGACCACCGGTCAAGGCAGGTGATCAGGTTGAATGGTCCACCCCCACAGACACTGCCTCACAAGATAGACATGTCCAATCTAAGCAGAACAGGCCTGGTAGGGGGTGGCCATCACCAGCAGCATAAGATGGACTCTCCCAATCTGAACAGGTCCAGGCCTGATATGAGTGATCCTGTCTCTGCCTCCACACAGAGGCCTGGTGCTGGGGCAGCTTATCCACCACATGTACAGCAGAGACTAGGGGGGAATAGGGGGGAACAGAGGCCTCTGGGAAGTACTAGTTCTGATGGCTCAGACAAAGATAGGACTAGAAGGTTTGTTGATGCTGATGGTGGCATGGCAACAAATAATTTCCAGTCTTCCTCACCAATGAATAGACATAGTACTGAAGTGAGGCCTGGTTTGCCTTATGGTCCACCACCATCATCATCAAATACTATGCATAATGACTCCTCAGCTAACATGCACAGGGTTAGTGTCTTGAACAGGGCCAGTCAGAACATGATGGACAGACCATCACCAAATGTGCACAGCATGAGACTCTCTCCACACCACGACTCTCTCCCACATTCCACGGGACCTCCTTATGAACATGATCACCAGAGGGAGCTGGGGTATGACTCTCAGAGCAATCAGAGCTCAGACTTAAGTGCAAAGAACACGTCTCTGGATCATACCAGTGAGAGTGAGCCCCCTCCCCCAGAGAGTCACCATGAGATTAGGAACTATGAAGATGTGGCCAGGTTTAAGCAGCAGCAGCAGCCAGACCCTCTGTCACAAGTGTCCAGTTCTACGGACAGTGGCTATGGACACGGACATCACATTTATGAGAAGGTTAATGATCTGAGAATGGGAGGTGAGTTGTCAGATTTTGGATCTGAAAATTGCTTTTAAGTACATTGTAGCATTGTAACTTACCTCATATGTATATTATCACAGGTACAGAGAGAGGATTGGAGTATCTTTGAGGTTTACCAAAAAGGAGCTATCTTTAATCATTTAGTCTTAAAAACAACTAAAGGCAGAACAACAAATTTGAAATTTAAAAAGAAAATGTTCCTGTCAACTTCCAGGTTACCCTCCTAGTCACCTGCCTCCTCCCATGAGAGCCCCACCCTCCCCTCCAGGCCACCCCCAGCCCAGCCCCCTTACTGTCCACCCCCAGCCCAGCCCCCTTACCATCCACTCCCATCCACCAGAACACCACCAGCTCCACAGGAACCCTCCAGATATCACCAGCCCTGTGGATGGACCTTATAATGGAATGGACCAAAACTACCCCCCAAGGGGACAGATTTACCCTGGTGGTCAGTATGACCCTAGGATGACCAATAACCTCAGGGACTTCAAGCCGGCCAGATCTTCCCCAGTAGCTCCTCTAATAAGAGACCATCAGCCTCCCTTGCCGCCCCAGCAAGGTACCAGCAGGGGGAATCCGTACCCTGGTCCACCTAAGGAGCCAATCTATGTGTCCAGGAACCAGCTGTTCAGACAGCACAATGATGTGGGGTCAGGCAGAGAGAATGGTCTTCCTGACCAGCCACAACAGAGCCTGTATCTGGGGCAGAGCAAATATGAAGTGGTGGGTGCATGGGCTGAGATAGATGGGATCCTATTGTGGTAGAATAAAAAAAGATACATGAAACAAATATTTTCATGGTTAATTTTTAAACACTATTAAAGGATTTGAAGTAATCCTGTGGAGTTCTTAACTGTTATCTTTTGGTTGTAGAGATATGAACTTTGAACTATATTTTTAAATTTTATACCTCTGTATTATCCACATGTTCTGGTGTGTTACAGCTTCCAGCCACTGTGTTGAAGAACCCAGGTCTAGGGTTCAGTATAGCTGGTGGGAGGGGATCCCAGGGCAATCCATACAGACCTGAAGACCAGGTGATACACACAGTCCTTAATTACCTGACTTAACACCATGTATACTCTTAGGCACAATTTCCAAACAACCAACACCCAATAAATATTTGGAAGAAAATAGAAAAAAATTGTCAAATTGTGTGATATTGTATGCTGTTTTAACTATGTTAAGAACTTACATAAATAGTAACCAAGATTTGCCTAGCTGATGTTGAATGCTTGTTTTGTTCTTTGTTTTCTATTTTAAATAGGTAAATCTATCTACTACTAGTTTGACGTGCCCTGACAGCAACCATCATTTTATATTACTTTGATATTGATAATTGATATTGATATTGAAAGCCAGTTATTTTCTCTTTTCTTTTTAAATAGGACATGATCTGATCACACATATCAGCTAATGCTTCATATGACTTATCTATAAACTTCATTCTGAACTAGCAATATATGAAATATAATTTTCTTTTTCAGGGTGTTTTTGTGACCAAGGTCCAACCTGAAGGGCCAGCAGCTGCAGAACTACGACCTGGAGACAAAATTTTGGAGGTGAGTTTTTAGAACCAGGCACCTGTTGTAGTGTAACAATTTCCGTGACTTCTAGATTAACATCAAGGTATCTTTGTGTTCTCTTCTGTAGGCCCTGCATGTCTGCTTAAGGGCTCTGTGTATTATATTATATTATATTATATTATATTATATTATATTATATTATATTATATTATATTATATTAATGAGTAAAATGATAAAGTTTGCTGTGCTGCTGATGAGTTTTAGTGAAATAAGAGTTGTTTTATTGCATTATGTTTTTAACATATGTCTTTGTTTTGAAGGTCAACGGACAGAACTTTACTCAAGTTGACCACAGTCGTGCAGTGTCCATCTTAAAGAACAGTGGCCAGACTGTGTCCCTGCTGGTAGAGAGAGAAAGAGAGTTGGCCTCTAAGGTTTAGGCTGCTTATAAACTGTTGATATGGAAATATCTTTAACTTGAAAAAACATAGTCAAATAGCAATAAAAAGAATCTGACAGTTCTTAAATGTGCTATTCAAAACCGTGATGCTGACCCTGAAAAGTGATGCATTCTATTGGATGTCTTATCAAAGGTTAGAATAACTTATCATACTTAAATGGTCATTTTAGGAATTTTATCTGCAACTCATATGATTGGGAATTCGATTATTTCCTTTTTATATTGTGACTGAGAGTTGATATGTATATTATGTATTAAATAAGTATTTGTAGTGCTCTGGTTGATCCATAAAATCAGGACATGTGATACCATGTCAAAGCAATAATGAACTGATTAAGTCAGCAGTAGTAGCCTTACTTGTTTTATAAAGGTCCAAACAATATACATAACTCTTAATCATATCCAGCAGCACAATTATCCTAGGAATTTTAGTTTCTACATATCATTTAGGATGCAACCTGTTTATACTATGCAGCTTGGTGTTATGAAGGTCAGATTCATCAATTATAGCATTTATCACTGAATATAGTTTTGTTTGTGATGAAAACAATAGACAGAAATGTCTTTTTGGCCAGAATCTGTGCAGTTAGTAAGTGCTTTCAGTTATACATTTTATAACATTGTGTAAGGTATAAAGCACTTTCATTGTAGAAACTGTATATTGTTTAGTTGTACCTTTATTATTTCTTTTATTTAAAGGTTTTAGTAGAAATGCTACTTGCCAATCTTTAATCCATGACTTTAGTTCTTTTTTATTGATACATGACATTTTCTCTTAAAGACTTGTTTATTTTATTTATGAAAATAGATGTACGATTTATAGCATTGTATTTATTGTATCTGCAGTTTAACTGTACTTAAGTATTATGTATATGTAAACTTTATTTATACATTCTTTTCGGGACATTTTAATGTATTTTTGCTGAGAAATGTCTGTCACCTACTTTTAGTAAAAATCTGTAGTTGTTTTCCATATTTATAATTTTATTCCAAATTAATGACACAAACTGTCAATTGTCATAACATTTGTTGCTCTTTTACTTTTTAAAGAGGCAGGATTTCCAGAAAGAATTTATTATGGTAAATAAGAAATTGTACAACTTACTTTGAACAAAAGGATGTCATTTAAGTGATCTCTTTTGTATATTTTTAAATTAAATACAAACATCTTGTGAAAATATAGGTTTCATTTCTATAATTCCATATATACATTTATATGTATGTGCAAAGTGCTATTTATTTATTTGAAGTCTAGATAAGCTGGTATCCTCTTACTGAATGCACCAAATACTTCTTTAGTAGAACGTACACATGTTATAGATCTGATAGACCTGACATAAAGAATTGGTTGTGAATTTTATAATAGCTAGCTTATGAAGATCTTATCACGGCATGGAGCAATGCCAATATGTATATTGTAAATGTATTATTATATGATGGTATACGTCTATTCAAAGGTGCATTTTTTAAAGTATCTTATCAGTGTGGCGCTTTAAACCAAAATAAGTGCTATGATTGAAATTGTAAATAACTGTATAGTTCACAAACACTAGGAATAGCATTAACCAGAGTGAATTGCAAAGTGTGATTAAATTATGCACCACAGGAAAATTCCCCAAATAAAAATATATTTTGATATTGTGTTATTTCATCATTTGTTACAAATGGCCACCATCAGTCAGCATAAAATGTTTGTAATTTGTTAACAAACCCTGAGATGTTAAAGGTACCCAGCATAATATTTTCCCCACCAAAAACACATACTATGAATTTTGCCTGAGGTAAACTGTATTTTTCTCTCAGTAGCCAACCTTTATCCTCATTTCCTGATACTTGCCATAACTCCAACATTATAACAATGACATAACTCTAACTGTAGCGTAATAACATTGTGGGAAAATTAGAAAGTCTTTAATTCCATCATCAGTTTGAACACTGACCTGTGAGCGAAACTGTAAAATATTTAAAAAGGAAGAGGAAAAAGATAAGTTAATATGGTCACTTAATTGCAATTCTTGTACTCTGGGTCACTGACAAATCTGAAGCTCTAACTAGACTTAAGAAATGTACAGTAGCAAGTAAAAAGTGACTAACATTTTTAAGTAGTTAAAAAAAGCATTTTAGCAGTGGCGGATTAGAGGGAGGGTCCTGACCCCCACCCCCACCCCCTTTGATTTTTGGTCCCCTCTTGAAATTAGAATTTTGACCTGCTGAATCATAGTTCTAAACCATTCATCCTCTAATTGCGTAGCCCTTCAGCAGGCCCGAAACCCCACCTCAGATAATCCTGGATCTGCCCCTGTTTTAATATGAGAAGACTAATTTTATGTAATATCTCTCCAGATGGGAACATAAAATATTTTATCTTGCCCATCAATTTTAAAAACATACAAACGAAAAACACAATATAATAAAAAGAGGTGACACTACAAACACAATGTGTCTTCTTTTCACCCTTTGATGGATTTGGGTGAGTTGTAACTTGTATCATAATTAATTGTAAGTATTTATTACATGAGGAAAAACAAAAGTAAAGACAGTCCAAGATCTGTGGTAATAACCAACCAATGTTTTACTATAATGTCAAAAATTGTGAAGTATTAAAGTGACCTACACGTATGTACTTGGACATGATTGATATATGTAGTTGAAAAACACAATCTAATTGCTCAACCAACGCATTCAAATCTCCCGGACACCTGTAGTCACGTGACTGTAACTCTCAATCAATACCACTCTGGTATTTAGCCTAAATATCCAATTATTTTCCAATCAATATTCAATTTGAACCAGATGCAATTTTAAAAATATATTTCAAAACTGCGCTTGTAGACAAAAGTATATGAGATTCATCTTAATGCACCATGTCATTTGTGGACGCCAGTAAAACAGGAACAGGGTAAAATAATGCGGCCATCTTTGAAGAGGTGAATGGCAGTTAGGGGTTGACAATATTATCACCTTGGAATAACATTGCATAGGAGATATTACAGCCACGGCTCAGAAGGCAGTTTAAATTTTGCTTAAAATTTGCACGGTTTTTGACAGGATATCTGTGTATTTTTACAGCGCTGTGAAGGAAAGGGCTTAATACGTTGGAGGTGTGACGAGTTTGCCTACTTCGTTTTTATCATTGAAATCGTAGTGCGGAAGTGGGTGTGAAATGTAGCTTTCAGAGTCGTCGACATATGAAGAAATGACATGAGCTTCATAAATACTCATCAGAGTCCCCAGATGGAAGTGGAATAACCTTGTTCTGCAGTTAAAGGGATATTTGTGTAAGTTAATTCACTGGAGCATAACGCTGTTTGAACGCTAGACGCGACCGCGGAATGACAATGGCCGCCGAGGACCCAGAGTTAAAGAGGCGACTGGCTCGTCTGGAAGGGAGAATGAAAGACCCGAATTCTGAAATATCAGTGGATGGTTTGCTGGTAAGTATTGTTAAGACCACATACATACCATTGTTAGGTATCCTGAGTATCATCAATATAACCCTAGCAAAACTGAACATTTGTCTAATATGATGTTGTTTTGATTATTCTATTATTGTGTAAATTATTTGATAAATATATCAGATGTACCTGAAAACTGCTTTGTTACAATTTCGACAATAACTGCATTTAGTTGATATAAGTATATTATAAAGAAATGACCAGGCCTTGTTGATAATCCTTTGTTGGTCATACACATACCAATGCCATCTACAAACAAGAGAGGGCATTTTTTGGTCACATGGGACCAAGAATTTTCATTTGCCAGAAGTGATCAAAGAGAAATAAATGCCATTAAAATTGGGCTACAGAGAAAATAACACAAGATGCAGAACCAAGAGCATCTTGATTTCAGTTGCATGTTTTAATGGTGAAGTCTTTTATTGCCCCCCTCATCCTGACAGGACCTGTTCTGGGTAAGATCAAAACAGAATGTGGAGGATAATATAAAAGAATGAAGACTGCAATTCATAAACATTCCTGACTCTGTGAATCGTTGATCTGGATTATTTAGGACAAAAAGTAATTTTATTATGACAGAAATTTGTATTATAAATAATGATAAAAAGGAGATGACTTTTTGTTCAATATTAATTAAATATCTTAATTAATGTGAGGCAGCATTAAAAACCTGTCTAAAAGCCAATGCCGAAAAATAATAGAAATAAATTATCCTTGTTAATGGGTCCTGAGGAATGTATTAAATGAGATGGATGAAAAATTAGTTCCTCTTGTTTCACACCATTCAATAAATATAGCTCATCACCATAAGTCAACTTTGCTGCAACACCAACTTGCCGTGACCCAAGTCATTAAGGAAATATAAAAAGACCCCCATGTCAGTTCTGGGGACTGGGAACATGGCACAAATTAACCCAGTGTAAAACACTCTGCTCCACACAACTAACAGTTGACATTATGGACTGTGTTATCACTGATATCAGTATTTCAAGCCTGACTTGTTTATTTTTGGGGGGAGGCGTATTCTTACATGAAGTTGATAGATAAATAGATTAACTGATAGTAAAGTTAGATAAATTTATAGATGTTGTTTAATTTTATTGTCAAGTTTTTAATGTTATTGAAATAGATTTACTACCAGGGCCAATCTGATTATCCTCGTTTTTCAGTGTTAGCATTTATTATATTTTCTAATCTACGTGTAGCCATGAAGCTCACCTATACGACACTCACACTGAATCATGATTATAGATGATAAATCTAAAATGTTATTATGATGACAAGATAAGTATTGAATTTGCAGTTTATTTAGCATATAAGCTATCATTACCATAAAATTAATTTTCAATTTTTTAATTGATTGGATCATTAATTGATCTTTTTGTTGTGAGAAGGAAGATTTAATGACCATATTTTGGTAGTCTCGTGTCTACCAGACCCTTCAGACATCACTAGAAAACAATTCAGTAAATGAAATGTCACAGAACGTGGCAGGTTTTGACTTCAGAGTTTCGATCTTTGAACCTTGTTACACCATGTTCAAGTAGAAGTTGTGTATTTCCTATGTACTTGTGGTGGATGCAGGTCAAATCCATTTAAGATAGGAAGACATACATGATCCTTAGGCAGACATGGTCTTGTTAAGATTTCATGATTGTTGGTTTTAAACAAGTGTCCTCTGAAGAGTCAAGGTGGGGCTGCCTTTAGCTATGGTGGTGTGATCTGATGGCTCTATAATAACAGCTTACAATTTTAGTGTCTGCTGGCCCATCAGGATAGAAACAGCATATGTTTTATGTTGAATTTCTATGCATAAAAAGGAGGATTAACAACTTGGGTCAGCTTCTGAATGCATACATGTCCATTCAATTTTGTTTTTATATATTCTTACTTTTTTATGGTACTGCAGTCCATGTATGTGCCTTTGTCGTTTGTCACATGAAATATCTTTATGGTATTTTTATGTGCAGGGTCCAGTCTATGCAATACCTGACTTATCACCTGTCTGGCCCATTGGTTAGCATTCCATGTCCACCCTACATTATGGCCTGATAGGTGACAATATTATTGCCTGCCTGCTTGTGGTCTGCTAGGTAGTGTAACCCACCAAAGATATCTGCCCATGATGCAACAGTGAAGAAGGGTTTGATGAAATTGAAGGGGGGGGGGGGGCATTTTTGAATCAGTTATGACATTTTTTAAAGATCGTCAAGGTAAAAGATTTTATTCTTTTCAAAATCCCTAGTTGACAAATTATATAAGATGCTTTTTGTCTTCCACTTAAAGGCAGCATTTTGCTTTCATTGGATTTTCAAAGTACATTGAAATAATTATTCCCCACTGACAAAATAAAGAAGAATTCTCATTTTCCTGTTTTCTTTTGCAGGATTCCATCACATCATTGGTTGCAGATTGTGACTTCCCAGCCATCCGAAGAAACAAAAATGTGGAGAATTTTTTGGGAAGATGTAAGTAACCTCCTCTCCCTCTGATGCACTTCTAAGTAAAAAATTCAAAATACAGATTTGTTTGACATTGAAAGGACTAGAAAAATAGATGAAACTGTAGCTGGTCATTTCAATGCAGTGTGCTATGTGCTGTTATCAGCTGCAGCACTTCCACCCATAAACACCTGTCAATACATATGCAAACACGTACTCCAAGGAAAAGATAAGTTACAAATAAATGAATGCCATTTCTGATTAAAGTTAATGGCAGTCTTGAGCCAGGGCACCAGTTTACACCTTGGAGTTGTTTTACATAGTTTAATGTCAACCAAGCAGGAGAGAGAGAGAGAGAGAGAGAGAGAGAGAGAGAGAGAGAGAGAGAGAGAGAGAGACCTTGACAGTGATACGTAGATGGCTTGTGACATGATACTACACACAATGTACTTTAGGAAAATAAAAACAGAAGAGAGGGTCCTTCACACTAATTGATAATATCCAAGGAAAAAATGTGTAGATGTTAGAAGAGGCAGTATTTAATGATAAAGCAGTAGGTTTCTAGGCTGGGTTGACCATGATATTTATACATGTATTCAAGGGGGAGTGCTTCTTGTATATATAAACAAGCATCAATTAAAGCCGGTTTCCTGTACAACTCGGCATCAACAAACTTGTATTTGATTGCCAGGAATGCAAGCCAGGGAATATTGGTCAAGACAACCCATGTTAAGCCAATTAAGGCTGGAATGTTAAAAATGAAGTACTTTTTTGTAGAACTCTGGTAGATTGTTTCCCTCGGATGTGTATTGTCTAAAGTGCTTTAGAATTCTGTGTAAATATAGACATTTGACATCTGGGTAAATGCCCCCCTGTCATATACACCTTCTATGCTTTCCAAATGGGAAAATGATTGATGAGTGTTCAAGTGGCAGGTAACTGTAGTAACTCAAGGCATGGTCTTTTTTTATCCGGCATGTCTGTTGTGCACAGGGCAGACAGCACCATGAACCCATAAAACTTTCTAAAAAATGTACAAAAAAGTGTCTATAATTGTGCTAATGTTTTCCGTCCAATGTTGGAGATATTTTTGCCTTGGGCTATCATGATCTGTGGATATCAAAAGTTGCTACCCTTGATGAAAAACTTGAAAGGCTGAAAATTTTAAAGCTTTGAGATTTTCTGATCTTTGATGCTTAGAAACAAGACTGTTTTTTTTGCATAAACTACTTCAATTTATCAAAAAAAAGGGGGAAAAAAACTAACACATTTGTGCTTTTTTCAAGCGCTCTTTTGTGTTTTCTGGTTATGAAGTCTATGCCGTGACATTTTTAACAGAATGTACAAAGCCCTTTGGTCCAGAGTGATGATCATTTCTTCCTGAGCAGGCAGGAAAGTCAGTAGCTTGTGGATGTAACTATTTTGATCACTGGTGTTTTTATTTTTAATGTATTTAAATAAATGACATGTTTAGAGATAGCAATCAAGACAAGGTAATGGTATCACTATTCCTGTGTTTTTTGTGGTAAGGTAGATGGATTTGTCACAGTGATTTAGCCCTGTACATTTTGACCCTCAACATACTTTTGTGGGTTTAAAAAAACATCCTTAGTGCCCTGAAAGTTGAACTATACACCTCATTTTTGACCTGCCCCCCTTGTGGCCAGAACCTCCATTGGGGTCTATAGTTACAAGGAATGGCAGGATACCTCGCTGTGTTTTATGGCACTTACTAGTAACTTAAATTTGACATGGGAGATTGAATGATAAAAACAACACACCTTTCCTTTTTCCAGTAAACTTTTCTCTTGGTAATTGAAAATGAAAATGTAATTGAAAATACTTCTATGAAACAAAACAGTTTGATATCTGAAGTATATACTTGAAAGTTGAGTTAAGGGTTGAGTGTTAGAAGAGGGGCCATCTTTTTGTGTGATGTTTTGATTCAGTTCCTTCAGAAACATGTGGATGTAGTTGGAAAGTATTTTTGGAAATGTATATGTCCAGATGATAAATTGGATCTATTTTTAGCGACTATAAGATGCGGTTTCTGAAAAAATTAAGTTATTTTGAAACTGGGTTTAAGGCACTATAAAAAAGGAAAAAAATAAACTGCCCCAAATTCCATGGAAATGCAGTCAAAGGAAGTAACAGAAACAAGTAACAGGAAAGACCAATTTGAAGCACTTGAATTAACCACTGATAAAAATACAAAAGAAGCCTGGGATATAACCAGTAGTGCATTATTGCTGAGTTCAGTCCAAAAAGAAAAATGTGACAGCTTTGTTTATTAAGTCTTCTTATAGATTACAGTACAATAGAGTAGACTAACTGGACAAGCATACCTTTCTTTTATTACCCAATAAATTTTATAAATATTTATACTAATAGTTGAAGTTGATTTCAGTAGCTGGGTAGACGGGTACATCACCTATGTGGTGCTTGGCTAATACAGCATAGAGAACGCACTTAGTATAGATGTCTGAAAGATGGAAAAATAATATGTGGCAACAGCACACAATATTGTATTCATTAATCATGGCTCCCACCTCCAAATAGCCGTCTACTGTGTTTTTATGCCCACAAAGTGCAAACAAAGTAAGCAGGCTAATTATTTAGGTGTGCATAGGAATGTGGGTGCTGCGAGCCTAAGATAGATGTGCTATTTATTTACCTAAGTTTGCAATCATCTACCTAGGTAGCTGCAGATTGCTTCTTTACTTGTTATGTAGCAAAAATGCCCTTGCTTTAAATGTATATTTATTTATTTGGTGAATTTTGAAATAAGGTAATCATAAATAATAAATAAATAAATTAATTTATAAAAAACAAATAATTAATTTTGGCATTCAGTTCCATAAGGTTCTGCCACTCAAGCAAGCATTGGAGATGGTATTTGGTCTTTTATATGTCACCTCTTTGTCATAATAACAGCTTTTGAAGTGTGAACTAGAAACCACACAATTTACAGCCCAGAAGCCTCTGATAGATCTCTGGGATGAGTTGCAAATGGGTTACCTTGACCTCCTCTTCAAGGTCATAAATTTGTTTTTAACTGGCTAATTGATCCCCCCTGTCTCCTTGTTTAATTGGATATCTCCCATTAAAATTTCTTTTCCAAAAAAAAAAAAAAAAAAAGCCTTGCCAAAGATAAAGAAAATAACTGATATATATTTAAATTTAAACTAGCTATGCCAGTATTCTTTACTTCATACAACAATTTCTAGAGGCTGTGAAAAAACAAAAACTTAATTAATTACTTCTTGCAGGCAACGTAGCTACTGGTGTTTGTGAACTTTTGACTCATGAAATGCATCCTTTACCCAACATTAAGAAATGCAAAATCATCCTGAGAAATCGAAAATATTAAACTCCACTGGGCAATTTGGTGGATAACATAAGAAAATTTTCAGATAAAATGCTAATAAATGGACGATCCTGATTTTTTTATTTGAACATGTGCTTTTAGCATATATTATAACTTTATTTATTTGTTTATTTTCAGATGAAAAGATTGTTGCTGATGTGAACAACTCCCGAATGAAGGCAGACGACTTTGAGATGGTGAAAGTCATTGGCAGGGGAGCTTTTGGCGAAGTACAACTGGTATGTAAAAGAGGTGCCATTAAAGCCAAGAGATCTGTTTACCAACACCGATTAGCTTCATACACTGGTGTAGATTATTTGAAGTCCAATGAACCCTCAGATCCACCAGTTAAAACTAATTTAAGTGAGTTCCGAACACAAGAAATATGGTTCTGCTTGTTATGGCAAATTGAAACAGCTGTCCGACCAGTGGTTACATTTTTCAACCAGTTGTTACATTTCAATTTGGACTATGTTTTACAAAAATTTTATTTCGGTTTCAATGTTGGTCTGCAAAAATGCTGTCTTCATCCTACAGTAGCTAATCAAAGATGGCAGTGCATACCCAGTGTTTTTCCTCTTAATTCAGTGCCCCACTAAAGTTAAATAGTTCGTGTTTGTAATGCAGAAGTATTATTTCTCAGTGTGTGCCTGTACTTATCTGAGATTTTCTTGGGACTGGCACTCACATATCATTGCCAGTATGCTTAGTGAAAAGCAGACTAAGGTCACCTTAGTTATACACCAGTTATGCATATACCTGATTTGCAAAACTGAAGATTGCTCAAATATTAAAAATAAGGAACTTGATATTTGGATTTGTTTCAGAGTATTTAGAATGTTCCTCCTGAAAGGCATATGTCTGGATGAATAGCTGATATACCAAACTGTAGAATGTGAAGGTTTTTGATACATTAGATCAATGTTGACATCCAAGAAGTGTGTGTATATTTCTCCATAGTTGTTGGGTACCAGTTGGATGGGTTGCTAACACAGTTAAAGACCCTTCTGTCCCAATATACTGTCGTTGTGACTCAGAATATAGATGACTCATAACATTAACATAATTTCATCTCCTAACCACGTAATGTGTTGTAAAAAGCTTGTCGTCAAGCAGGACAATTTTCTCAAGAACTTGGCCAATATATGAATGGCATCGGCCCCTTTTTACATGTCTCTTGGAGTAAACTTTGGGTCATTTCTACAGAAGTGCTGTTCTGGTTTTCTCTATAGCCAGTACAAGTACTAGTGGCTGAACTTGTCAATGTGACCTTATCCTGTGTATGTTACCTCCTGTACTATACTATATTATATACCACGTAGTTGGATCCTAAAGACTACAAAAGGTGGCTGTAACATGCCTATAACACTGATAATGGATCTTTTATTTTTCCATGGTACTTTTTATCACCATGGTAGGGTTTGATTTTATTTGTTGAACATTGGTTGGAAGATTGCGTTTCAGTTTACTTGGTTAAAATGCCCACTCCTGTAGAGATAAAAGATGGAAAGTGCTTGTGATTTTTATTTGTGGAATTTTTTGCTAGCAGATAATGTATTTTGGATTGCCTGTTTCCTTAAGATAGATTGCACAAAAATTGGCCTAGTAATTCTAGATTTAAACTCATTTAACAATAATTTGGTAAAGATACTGGTTCATAAAAATAAAAGTTTTGTGGGTTGTTTGAGGTTGATTGTTTAAAACCGTTATCTGACATGTGATTGAGAATTGTTGTTGTACATTGACAAGAAAATGTGACATTAAATCTAAAAGTTTGGGTCTGTTTATGTACTTGAGAGGTTCACCTTCCTCACAGGTGAGTAGTACAGGTAAACTCCAAAGGCACAAGGAGATGATTTCTTCTATGCTTGTTTTTATTACTTCTGAGCTTGTAAAATTATCCAAATTAATCCCATCTCATAATCAGATATATGGGTAAAACATCCCCAAATGTGAAAAAACAAACTTGGAGTGATAAACAAGTTTGAGCAAGGTTTTTACATTGAAAACATCCCCAATGTATGGCAAAATCCATGTGCTGATGAAGCGAAAACTAGGCTGTCTCTATACAAGTATAATCGTACCTACTTAGCCTTGTCTGCATAACCCCAGTAAAAATGTTATTATCAGTGGCATGGCTAATGTGCTTGCAGTTCAGTATGCAGTTATATAGATGAGAGAGGGACATGTAAGGCCTCTATTACCACCAAGATTGCTGGCACATACCACCATTACACTGCTGCATCGTTGGGAAAGTTTCTATATTGGTCTTCATGGAATCATCTGAGTTCACCTACAGAAAACCATCATTGAAAGATCAAAGTTATTTTTGCTTCATAAATCATATTCACACTGATGGTACCCTTAATGGCGTGTTAATGTGGCCAGTTGTATTATGTCCCTAACTGTAACATGCCCTCCCCTTTAGCAAGGTGAAGCCTGCCAACAGATCTGACATGATTCATCTTCTATTGGAATCGAGAAGGTGACAGCTTTTAGAGTGAATAAGTCCTGCATGCAGGAACATGTGTTCGTGTTCGTGTACATGCAACTAGAGGCACTTTATGTCATATTTCCCGTTGTCATTTTGGTCGTCTCCATGTACCTGCTTCCTGGATGATTACATAGATAGATGAAGGGTTAATAGTTATGTAGGAGTTAAATATCCAGATAGGATTAATCTGATGGATCATAACCCTGCATTCCCATTTGAATTAGAAATGATGTGTGAATCCAGGCACCCGAGATCTGTCTGTGCTGATAGATTCAGAGTAAAATCTCAATGTTTGGGAAGATGTCATGATTGGATAAGCCTAGTATTCCTCTCAATAAAACTATTGACTGGAGAAGGGCAGCCGCATAATGGCCTGAATCACACTAGTTAGGAGTGAAAAAATGCATTGGGCATTTACACGACAAAAACATGCAAGAACTTGTTTCTTCGTGGAAAGGGAATTGAATTAACTAACCTTTATAGGCTGTTAAAATGTAAAGAAAACGTTGGCGCTGCAGCTCCAACACCTGATATTACAGCCATGCTGTGTTCGCACAGCTATTATAGCAGGGGCATGCGACGTTTGTTATCACTGCAAACATTGCATAAGGGTAGTCAGCCACACTGTTGATACGGCAACTTTTTCTATAGACATAGATGAACTATTTCGCTTTTGATTTTGTTTTTATAGTGTGTGGTAATTGATGATTAGCTAATTGGGTGCAATCTGGCCGTATTTGTACTGATGTCTCGTGTGGAACTATGAATGGAACGGCTGATGCAGCGTAAAATTTGAGTAGATGTACCCAAGCGGGTCCTGAGAGAGGTCTGCTTGGTGTGGGCCCTGGGTGCAGAGTGCCTGGGCTGTTTCACCCTTTTGTCTCATTGTTATCAAATCTGCCCAGTTCAGGGGGTGGAGAGGTGTGGAACTCAGTGAGGTTGATATTGTGTGTGGAAGCTGAGGCTGACACAATCCAGGCCTCTGTGAAAGATGTCAGAACAGACAGATTCAACCTGCTGTACTGTTGTGGTGGTAGAAGCTTAACCCCATAAGTTCCCCTGGCCTTACTTTTATTGCATGAAGAAATACGATGTGATTATGGTGTTGAGACCCTTTTACTGATGTTATCTAATGGTAGGCTTGTGTTACATCCCTATTTCCCTGTTACAACGGATTAAAAAAAAACTGAATATCTTCATACCATGTGTTTAACCTATTTAGTAGTGATATGTAGCACACTTGACAACAAATCTTTATCAAACTAAATAAATTTTTATATTTGGTTATTAACACCAATGTGATTATATTTTCTCTCCTCCTCATGTATTTGACATGAATTTTTTGTACCATTGTTTATTCTAGGTCCGCCATGTGTCAACCAGAAAGGTCTATGCCATGAAGTTACTCAGCAAGTATGAAATGGTAAGTGTGGGTGTGGTGAGACCAGCACGTCACCTAGGTGCCCTCCAATTTCATGTTCAGGATGTTTTTACCTTTCTTAATGCCAAAAAGGTGTCATTGTATTGCATCACTAAAAAAATGTTTGACAAGATGAATTTGCAGTTTTGGCTTGACATAAAAGGGGAGGTGTCGCTTCTGCTTTATAACAAGAAATGATTATTTTTTTCACTTAAAGGTTTTTTTATTACTGTATGTGACTTGAAATGTCAAGAAGATATTAAAAAATGTGCATGCTATTTCTGAAGTATTTTGTGGCAGAAAATGTCAAAATACCTCTATTTTTGTTAGTCATTGATGTTATGTGGGAAAGAGAGCTGGTTGAAAACTGAATAGCACACTGACATGCAATCCAGCACGAAAGCTCACTGTGGAGTCTTTCCCTACTTCTGCTTTTGCAGTAAAATATGAAGTTAATAAAACAGAAGAGGTTGTCAGTTAAAATGTGGTATCTTTGTACTCCCCCCCCCCCCCCCCCCACACACACACACCATCTGCAGCCCCCCTCCTTTCAAATTTAGTCTAGGCTTACACCAAAATAGCAAGATAGCAAACAAAATGCACTGCTTAATACACGCACAGAAATTGACCCCCCTCCAGACATATTTACATATAGCACATAATACTAACTGTGCCCCCTCCAGACATATTTACACATTGCACATAATACGAACTGTGCCCCCTCCAGACATATTTACATATAGCACATAATACGAACTGTGCCCTCTCCAGACATATTTACATATAGCACATAATACTAACTGTGCAGTCTGAATAGTTCCTGATAATCCCATACCTGCATGTATAAATAAGTAAACTGACACGCTTATCTGAAGGATTACCAATCTATTTCTGAACTTATGCTTAGTCTTGTGCTACATGCAGATGGCTGGCATAGTTTTCTATTATCAATCACGTTGTAAATGGGAAGGCAAGTTAATGCACCTATGATGTGGGAATTAAACAGGGAGCTAGAGGTTTAGGAAGCTGTGATTGAAAAGCAATTTATATGCCATGGCAGCAGCCACTCTGCACCCTGGCCTGACCTTGACGATAGAAAGACTTGTGCCCGTATTTTTATTTCAATCCTAGGAATACTTGCAGTGACAATATTAAATAAAAGATGAGCCCTTAAAGTAGGAAATAAATAAAAAGAAAAATGAGCCATATAAGCTATGTGTTATTAATTTTCTGTAGTCTTGTACTTCAGCTTAAGGTGGAATATCTGAGTAGTAAATTAGTGAGCTGAATATTTTTAATTGTTTTCATAAGAAAATGTATTTTTGTTTCAGATCAAGCGCTCGGACTCTGCCTTCTTTTGGGAAGAGAGAGAAATCATGGCCAATGCCAACAGTCAGTGGATTGTGCAGGTAAGTGTCTGCATCCTTTCTGATTTTTTAATATCACAATTCTTAAAAAGGTATTAAAAGAATCAAGGTACTAATTTTTCCAAAAGGTACAACTAATGAAAATTAAGAAAAATCAATGGACTTATTTTTCCAAGAGGTACAACTAAGGAAAATTAAGTACAAACAAATTTTCCTAACACAGTAACAAAACTTGGGTGTTAAAACGCTATTCCCTTCACAACTTTTTCATTTTGACAAATTATCAATGAATTATCTTTCCAGCTTCACTTTGCCTTCCAAGACCATCGGTTCCTGTACATGGTAATGGACTACATGCCCGGCGGAGACCTGGTAAACCTCATGAGTAACTATGACGTCCCTGAGAAGTGGGCCAAGTTTTACTGTGCGGAGGTGGTGTTGGCCCTGGATGCTATCCATTCTATGGGATTTGTCCACAGGTAGGGTGGTCAGGTAGTCTTATTAGAGATGTGGTACCTGGCATGGCAAACATTGAGCAGAGAACAAAGTCTCAAATGGAACTATGATACCCAAAGGCATAAAAAATTGGATTTCAAAGAATCCGTATGGATGTAGAAGAGTGATTGAAACAAATTGATATAAGGATTCTGTTGATTACTGAAATAATGAAAATGAAATGTCAAGGGTATGCAAAATACACAGATACAGGACTGCTTATCCTGTTGTCGCAGAATGTGCTCACTATTCATTATATATTGCACAAACAATAGTAATTGCATTCTTATTTCATTGATTTTTGTAATTGATATGTAAATGAGCATTATCTTTTATATGGAATTTTTCCAAAATCAGTGTCTCCAGGCCTTTCATGCTATGCAATCTGGTCAACCAGTGTTGTCAAGAAGTGTTATTTAAGTCAATTCTGGTATGAACAGGTCTTATTGGAGACTATCTAAGTCAGTCCTGGTGTGAACAGGTCTTATTGGAGACTATTTAAGTCAGTCTTGGTGTGAACAGGTTTTATTGGAGACTATCTAAGTCAGTCCTGGTATAAACTGGTCTTATCTGACTATCTAAGTCAGTCGTGGTGTGAACTGGTCTTATTACAAACTAGCTCTAGGTCAATTCTGGTGTGAACTGGTCTTAAAGCAGACAAGCTCTAAGGCTGCATTCGGATCAGTGGTCTAACTAGTCCACGAGTCAAATATGGCTGAAACACTTGAATACTCTCCCCATGGGGACCCTATTGCATGGTTATTAGCGGATTAGATGACAAGCTTTTAAGACGGTCGCTTTATTTGGCCACCAAACTAGTTAGTCTGCTGTTCTGAATCCAGCCTTAGTCAGTCCTGGTGTGAACTATTACAGACTAGTTCTATGGGAGGGGGAAGTGTGATAGATTCACAGCAAATTAGTTCCCCCATTGTATCTTCATTTACCTGATGACTCAGATGTGAACGTTGATTGCATTCCCAATTTGGCTTCCATGTCTGATTAGGATTGGTCTCCGATAACAAAAAATGAGATTAGCAAATTAACTGTCAGGTTGTCTGAATTGTTTTCATTGATTTCAGGAGATTTTGCCAGGGAAGGCAAACTACTCCTTGTCTGTATTTAAACTTCCCCAGGATTGCCTGTCACAAGGAATTTGTATTGATTTTCCACGCTTGACATTTGAGTCTCTTTTGAGTGTATTTTGTAGTTGGAAATGCAGTCAGTTTTAATGCAAGGTTATCAAATATAGATTGACATCCCTAGGATAAACAATACCATTAGGCTAGAGACCAGAGCATCTCCATTTGTGGAATAAAAACTTTGTAGATGAAGAGATAATAAAAGATTAATGAAGGGCATGTTATTAAGCAGCAATCAAGTGAGAGAACTTGAACTTTACATTTCTGTTATTGTAATGTTGATAGAAGGAATGGGAAATATCCTTCACTAGTTCATAGGAATTCTATTTAAAGCTTATGTTTACTTCCTCCTTCAGCTTTGCATTTACTCAGAAATGTGCTGTGAATCAATTTTTTCTCACTATTTATGAAGAACTCTTTTATTGATTGATGCTGTGTTGATTGACTGATGTAAAAGAGATTTCAGATTTTTTATTTTGATAGTAAATAGCAGCAGAATTTAAATACCACCAATCTTGCATTCTCTCCATAGTTAACAAAAGATGCATTAACTTTTACATTTAAGTGATTATTTAGTCGTAAGGAGGTGATAAAATCATAACATGATTTTAATGGATATTGGTGGAGATGGACAAGATGTATCACTCCTCCCCCTGCATATAGCATCCATTAGAAATAGATCATCTGTGATGTATGTGGAGATTTCACTCTGAAAGTACCTGTAATAGAACAATTTGATGGTGTGAATGTAATTGAAGTGTACTATGACAGTTTAATATGTGGTCCAATGTACAAGTTGGTCAAGTACAATTCCAAATATTTTGTGACTAAAAGGTCATCTCAATTTTAGTTTCATTAAGAGGTTCTTACCAAAAGAATTGTCGTTAAGTGTTCCAAATACATCAACCTCAAGTAAAAACTCTATAATCTCAGTAAATTTTATGTGACTAAAAGGTCACCTCAGTTTTAGTTTTATTAAAAGAGAGGAATTGTCATTAAGTATTCCGAATACATCAAACTCAAGTAAAAACTAAAATCTCATTAAAGTGTACCGTTCCACCTTCCAGAGATGTCAAACCAGACAACATGCTGCTGGATGCCCAGGGACACCTGAAGCTGGCCGACTTTGGCACCTGTATGAGGATGGACAAGGTAGAAACATAGAAAAACCACAAATATTTCCTGAGAGCTGTGATCCTCCTTTTTTCTGATTTTCATATTTTGTACAGTTTTGCAATGTTTTTCATTTATTTTGTAATGGTAAAAGACCTGTAAGGTCTGTCCTGTGAAAAGTGTCACCCAAAAACAAGTTCACAAGATTTAACCAAGTAATATTGTTTTTTATGTTGGTGCTTACCTTAATTTATGGGTGGATGTTGGATAAGTACTGCTGCCTTGTGATTTGAGTTCTGGTTGGTTGGGGAAATAGAAACCAGTGTGATGATATTCAATTATACAGAGAATTATGTCTTTAAAGGGTACTTGATGATAAAAGGAAATGTTCACATAATCAGTTATAGCAAAGGAGTATTTAGTAATTTCTTTGTTATACCATTAAACATACCATCATGCCTATGTCAGAAGTTGTGGTACAAGGTCAATAAATCAGGGCTCTCTGGTAGGGTGGTATCACTTTAATGTGGACCTTTGCCCTGGTTATGGGTTTGTTGAGCTAGGAGAAAAATTGAATTGTGTTGGTATGATTAAATGTGTTTATTTACTACTGAGTTAATTGTGTTTTAGAATGAATTAAAAAAGTAGGGAAGTCAGCCTTGTATTAGACTAGACACCTTACAGACAGGCACCTGCTTCTACATGGCTCACTTGTGTGAATATAAAAACTTGGCAATCACCAGAAACACATAAAAAAGAAATATTACCTTGCCAGATGTACTTGGGATATGATACATTTTGTTCAGGCTCCAAGAAAAACATATTAGATCTTAAACATAGCCTTGTTTTAGGATTAGTCAGTGGTGTAATTATTACAGGGTCTATTTACATAATACAAAGATTCTGCCTCCACCCTGATCTTACTTGAGAGTCTATGAAGCAATCCTGTCCCTGCCTCTTCTCACAGTTTACATGTTGTGATTTAAACAAGACCCTCAATGTTAAGAGATTAAAAGTTTCTACTTAGTACTTTTGGCAACAGCTTCAAATTGTGTAAACAATCACAGAAAGTCAGATCTTGAAGCCTGACAAGAATTTAAAAAAGAATAGAGAAAAAAATCCCATTGTTTATTGTATTCCTAGGATGGCATGGTGAGATCAGACACAGCTGTGGGTACACCAGATTACATCTCCCCCGAGGTGCTGAAGTCCCAGGGCGGAGACGGTTACTATGGCAGGGAGTGTGACTGGTGGTCCGTGGGTGTCTTCCTGTACGAAATGTTGGTTGGTGAGTATCACAGACACATCACTCATGTTTGAAATACTGGCAAGAATTTTGTATTGTAAATGATCAAACTGTACAAACTTAAAACATATTTTTGAAGGTGTCATTTAACTATATCTGAATTGATTTATTTGATAGATATGACAGTAATGATATTTGTTGGGTGAAAGCGATAGCAGCACTTGATTAGCTTTCAATATCTCCAGTTGTTTCTCTCACTCTAAACGTTGTTTATTGCAATATTTTTTTCACTCCCCTCTGCAGGTGACACCCCTTTCTATGCTGACTCCCTGGTTGGCACATATGGTAAAATCATGGACCACAAGAACTCCCTCAGTTTTCCAGAAGACATTGAAATCTCCAGAGATGCCAAAAGTTTGATCAGAGCTTTCCTAACAGACAGGTATGTTCTCTCTTCAGTAGGCACTGAATGGACATCTATATGTTATCTTCCCTAGCCAGATTTAAAATTACGCAAAATAAATCTTATAGTAAAATTGTCATTTTAGTACATTTTACTCCACCTCTGTGATGTTTATATCCTTATTTTGTGCATTTGAATAGTTAAGAACATATCAGATACAATACGTCATTTACACTTTCATGGCATGCATATAGCTGTTATAAACTGTCAATAATCCCATTTCCCCTGGTATTCCAGGAGTGAGCGTTTAGGCCAGCGAGGGGTGGAGGAAATCAAAGGTCACCCATTTTTCACACGGAATGACCAGTGGACGTGGGACTCCATTAGGAAAAGTAAGTTACAGTACAAGTCATATAATTATTTGACACAAGCTGGAGTTTTTCCTCACCTTACTTGAGTTTGTGGCCAAATGATGAAGGCCTCTGACCAAGTAAGTTGGAGAAGACTGAGTAATGAGCTACTAAAAATAATGTATAGATAGAAACTTATCTGACATTCAATGATAAGTGCTCTTAATAGAAAATATGTGCTTTTTTCCTGTGATTAATTATTTATTATTTTATTTTCAGTTAGATCAATGTACAAAAGTGCATCTGCACTGCTCATTGTGGACCAATATATCTTTATGTGAATTGTATTGTCCCAGGTCCTTCTCTTCTAGCTTTCCCTTCCTGTTCCAATATATGCACCTATGATATTTATCCCACACCCCTTCATTATCTCTATACATGTTTCATTTCAGCTGTCCCCCCAGTGGTTCCTGAGTTGTCCTGTGATGTAGACACCAGTAATTTTGACGACATAGAGCCAGACGAGACGGCCCAGGAGACCTTCCCAGTTCCCAAGGCATTTGCCGGGAACCACCTGCCTTTTATAGGATTCACATATAACAGAGCTTATCAGTGAGTTCTGGTTGAAGTACAATATTTTTCATTGGATAAATTCTTATTTTTGAGACAAATTTTTAAAATTGAAATTATTTGCACCAGAGACAGCATTGGTATGATTTATAGTTATTTACTAAACACTAAGCCAAAATAATAGTTTTTTAAATTCTTTTTTTTTTTTTTTTTTTTTTTTTTCAATTCAATGTTGGAAGTGCTCAGACTAAACGTACTGTGATGACCAGGAGTGAAAATGTGAATGGTTCTTGTTTTCACTCTCTTTAATACTTTTTTAATTTCAGCCTACTCTCTGAAGCAAAAGCCTCACTAGATCAGGTAAGAAGCACTTAGACTTACATAGTGTTCTTTATTTAAGTGATCATACATACTGGTAATAGTAAGCGAAGTTGATGTTGAAGGTATGAAAAGGTATGACTGATGAGAGATTGAATGTTAAGGATAAAATGTAGAGTGGGGATGAAATAAGTTCAGAGAAAAAAAATAGAGTTGAAAGGCAAAGAAGGGGTCAAGAAAATGGATGGTTGAAAGGTGTGTCCAAGTTTTTGAGGACATATCATGGGAGGTATGTTATAGTAATGTGAAGACTGTGAGGGTGTATGAAATGAGGTATGGAAAGAATGAGAGATGTGCCAGAAGGGGGTGGAGTTGTGTGAAAAGGTGGGGTTCATGGGAGGGCTGGCATGAGGGGTGAGTAAAATGTGACAGGGTAACTGTGCCATAGTGCTGTGAATAACAGATGGAGAGCTTGATACATGATAGGAATATTGAAGTATTGTGTCTAATGGAAGCTAGAGTATTGATATATTTGTAAGTCTATGCACCTGTATTATCTCCTATATGAATCTCCTTACCTTCTCTGCATTCCTCATTCTTCTATACTTTTTCCCTGCCCAGGTTGATGTAAGTATACAGCTACATATCTTTATGGGTTCTGAAAGGTGCATGCTGTACATAGCTGTTGGTACATATAGTATAACCCGCTTAGTTGCATGCATTTCTTGCTGTACAACACAAATAGATCAAAATATATTTTGGAAATTGTTGAAATCTTCAGTTTTTAGTAGCATTCATTGCCATACATCACTCATACATCAAAACACACAGTAGTTTGTATCCAAAGGTGTACCACTGTGTACCGCTGATTGACCTTTGTGATATTATAATTACTTGTTTCTATTTGGCTGTTTTAATTTGGCATGTTCTAAATGAAGACTAGAAACAATATGTGCATGAAAATAAGTGATGATTTCAATTAAACAGTTTCTCAATTGATAAATTGTAGAATAGTTATTTACTAATACATATTCTTTAAAAGTGCCACATATGGTAGTATTACAACATATTTTAACTGAATAAGGAAAAAATAAGGGATGCTAACACAAAAGGGCATGGTCTCCAATAAATGATAGCTTTCAGTGTACAGATTAACACAATTTGTCCTGATATGTATGTCATGTCCGACCAATTAATTTTGTTAAATTTGTGTATATTTAAGTATATGTAATTTTAAAGATGCATATAAAATGAGAGTAAATACCCTGTAACATATATGAATTACTAGTTTCAGTTGCTTACACAAGGCACGTTGAACCCACATGCCAAAAAAATTCAGAAAAAAAGGCTTTAAAACCAGTTCTTCTTTGGTTGTTAAATATGGTTTTCCTTTTCCTANACCTAAGTCAGTCCTGGTATAAACTGGTCTTATTGGAGACTATCTAAGTCAGTCGTGGTGTGAACTGGTCTTATTACAAACTAGCTCTAGGTCAATTCTGGTGTGAACTGGTCTTAAAGCAGACAAGCTCTAAGGCTGCATTCGGATCAGTGGTCTAACTAGTCCACGAGTCAAATATGGCTGAAACACTTGAATACTCTCCCCATGGGGACCCTATTGCATGGTTATTAGCGGATTAGATGACAAGCTTTTAAGACGGTCGCTTTATTTGGCCACCAAACTAGTTAGTCTGCTGTTCTGAATCCAGCCTTAGTCAGTCCTGGTGTGAACTATTACAGACTAGTTCTATGGGAGGGGGAAGTGTGATAGATTCACAGCAAATTAGTTCCCCCATTGTATCTTCATTTACCTGATGACTCAGATGTGAACGTTGATTGCATTCCCAATTTGGCTTCCATATCTGATTAGGATTGGTCTCCGATAACAAAAAATGAGATTAGCAAATTAACTGTCAGGTTGTCTGAATTGTTTTCATTGATTTCAGGAGATTTTGCCAGGGAAGGCAAACTACTCCTTGTCTGTATTTAAACTTCCCCAGGATTGCCTGTCACAAGGAATTTGTATTGATTTTCCACGCTTGACATTTGAGTCTCTTTTGAGTGTATTTTGTAGTTGGAAATGCAGTCAGTTTTAATGCAAGGTTATCAAATATAGATTGACATCCCTAGGATAAACAATACCATTAGGCTAGAGACCAGAGCATCTCCATTTGTGGAATAAAAACTTTGTAGATGAAGAGATAATAAAAGATTAATGAAGGGCATGTTATTAAGCAGCAATCAAGTGAGAGAACTTGAACTTTACATTTCTGTTATCGTAATGTTGATAGAAGGAATGGGAAATATCCTTCACTAGTTCATAGGAATTCTATTTAAAGCTTATGTTTACTTCCTCCTTCAGCTTTGCATTTACTCAGAAATGTGCTGTGAATCAATTTTTTCTCACTATTTATGAAGAACTCTTTTATTGATTGATGCTGTGTTGATTGACTGATGTAAAAGAGATTTCAGATTTTTTATTTTGATAGTAAATAGCAGCAGAATTTAAATACCACCAATCTTGCATTCTCTCCATAGTTAACAAAAGATGCATTAACTTTTACATTTAAGTGATTATTTAGTCGTAAGGAGGTGATAAAATCATAACATGATTTTAATGGATATGTGTGGAGATGGACAAGATGTATCACTCCTCCCCCTGCATATAGCATCCATTAGAAATAGATCATCTGTGATGTATGTGGAGATTTCACTCTGAAAGTACCTGTAATAGAACAATTTGATGGTGTGAATGTAATTGAAGTGTACTATGACAGTTTAATATGTGGTCCAATGTACAAGTTGCTCAAGTACAATTCCAAATGTTTTGTGACTAAAAGGTCACCTCAATTTTAGTTTCATTAAGAGATTCTTACCAAAAGAATTGTCGTTAAGTGTTCCAAATACATCAACCTCAAGTAAAAACTCTATAATTTCAGTAAATTTTATGTGACTAAAAGGTCACCTCAGTTTTAGTTTTATTAAAAGAGAGGAATTGTCATTAAGTATTCCGAATACATCAAACTCAAGTAAAAACTAAAATCTCATTAAAGTGTACCATTCCACCTTCCAGAGATGTCAAACCAGACAACATGCTGCTGGATGCCCAGGGACACCTGAAGCTGGCTGACTTTGGCACCTGTATGAGGATGGACAAGGTAGAAACATAGAAAAACCACAAGTATTTCCTGAGAGCTGTGATCCTCCTTTTTTCTGATTTTCATATTTTGTACAGTTTTGCAATGTTTTTCATTTATTTTGTAATGGTAAAAGACCTGTAAGGTCTGTCCTGTGAAAAGTAATGGTAAAAGACCTGTAAGGTCTGTCCTGTGAAAAGTAATGGTAAAAGACCTGTAAGGTCTGTCCTGTGAAAAGTAATGGTAAAAGACCTGTAAGGTCTGTCCTGTGAAAAGTGCCACCCAAAAACAAGTTCACAAGATTTAACCAAGTAATATTGTTTTTTATGTTGGTGCTTACCTTAATTTATGGGTGGATGTTGGATAAGTACTGCTGCCTTGTGATTTGAGTTCTGGTTGGTTGGGGAAATAGAAACCAGTGTGATGATATTCAATTATACAGAGAATTATGTCTTTAAAGGGTACTTAATGATAAAAGGAAATGTTCATATAATCAGTTATAGCAAAGGAGTATTTAGTAATTTCTTTGTTATACCATTAAACATACCATCATGCCTATGTCAGAAGTTGTGGTACAAGGTCAATAAATCAGGGCTCTCTGGTAGGGTGGTATCACTTTAATGTGGACCTTTGCCCTGGTTATGGGTTTGTTGAGCTAGGAGAAAAATTGAATTGTGTTGGTATGATTAAATGTGCTTATTTACTACTGAGTTAATTGTGTTTTAGAAAGAATTAAAAAAGTAGGGAAGTCAGCCTTGTATTTGACTAGACACCTTACAGACAGGCACCTGCTTCTACATGGCTCACTTGTGTGAATATAAAAAACTTGGCAATCACCAGAAACACATAAAAAAGAAATATTACCTTGCCAGATGTACTTGGGATATGATACATTTTGTTCAGGCTCCAAGAAAAACATATTAGATCTTAAACATAGCCTTGTTTTAGGATTAGTCAGTGGTGTAATTATTACAGGGTCTATTTACATAATACAAAAATTCTGCCTCCACCCTGATCTTACTTGAGAGTCTATGCAGCAATCCTGTCCCTGCCTCTTCTCACAGTTTACATGTTGTGATTTAAACAAGACCCTCAATGTTAAGAGATTAAAAGTTTCTACTTAGTACTTTTGGCAACAGCTTCAAATTGTGTAAACAATCACAGAAAGTCAGATCTCGAAGCCTGACAAGAATTTTAAAAAGAATAGAGAAAAAAATCACATTGTTTATTGTATTCCTAGGATGGCATGGTGAGATCAGACACAGCTGTGGGTACACCAGATTACATCTCCCCCGAGGTGCTGAAGTCCCAGGGCGGAGACGGTTACTATGGCAGGGAGTGTGACTGGTGGTCTGTGGGTGTCTTCCTGTACGAAATGTTGGTTGGTGAGTATCACAGACACATCACTCATGTTTTGAAATACTGTCAAGAATTTTGTATTGTAAATGATCAAACTGTACAAACTTAAAACATATTTTTGAAGGTGTCATTTAACTATATCTGAATTGATTTATTTGATAGATATGACAGTAATGATATTTGTTGGGTGAAAGCAATAGCAGCACTTGATTAGCTTTCAATATCTCCAGTTGTTTCTCTCACTCTAAACGTTGTTTATTGCAATATTTTTTTCGCTCCCCTCTGCAGGTGACACCCCTTTCTATGCTGACTCCCTGGTTGGCACGTATGGTAAAATCATGGACCATAAGAACTCCCTCAGTTTTCCAGAAGACATTGAAATCTCCAGAGATGCCAAAAGTTTGATCAGAGCTTTCCTAACAGACAGGTATGTTCTCTCTTCAGTACGGTAATGTGCCAAGCATTTCGACGGGCCCAGTCAATCCGACCAAAAAAATTATATTATAAAATTAATTTTTCTGGGCTCAAACATTTAGTCCATACGTCAAAATCATGCGACAGAATTTTTTTCTTGTTCCGATTGTTCGACCACATCGTCGGCAAGACTCGGTAAATTTTCAAGCCAGTCACATAGATGCTGCATGCCGGGCCCTTTGTCAATTGTTGTCCTTTCAATAGCTCTCGTCAATGAGGAAGAAACTATTAATTGAAGATCTTATCTGGAAGCATGACGTACCTGTCATTTCCTTTGTCCCCGATGACAAAATAGTGTTATAGACATACAATTTGTGCTAATTAAGCAGACTTGCCNTGATAACATGATAAGTGGAAAACCATTTTACCTTTTGGCTTGAAACTTGCAGAACTAATGAATATTTATAATACGCAGGTCAAGTTTGAAAATCAGCATGATCGGGTCATTTTTAGGGTAGTTATGCTGTTTTTTTCACTTTTTTCAGCATGTATGCAACACCTATAACACCTTTGTGCTATATGATGGTACTGTATGAAATTGTCCCTTGGGTGATCCCTAATTAAATTAAGGTCTATAAAGTCTTGCCTAGTAATTAATTTTCAATTGGCCATTAAATGAGATTACATAAAACACTCGTTGAGATTTCCCTGTAAAGTCCCATAGTTTTAGCTCTGTTAACTGTGTCACAAAATTAGGATTTGGTGATAATTATGCAGATAAATGGTGTTTAACATTGCAAATAAATTTACAACAAAAAAATGTGTTATGCCAACATGCTATAGATGAATAACAGTGCTTTATTTTTCTCAAACTTGGTGGGGTTATTAATATCAAGTTAATACAGCTAGATTAAAAGTTTGAATAGCAGCTTTATTGGAATTTTTTACGTTTTATTTAAATTTTTTTTAAAATAATTTTTCAAACACTAGCATCTTCAAGATGTGATTTTTATCATCCACCAGAAGTGCTGTGCATTTTCTGTATTTTTTTGTATATAACTCTTTTTCCTCGGATTTAATTCTTAGGCATGTTAACAATCTCATTTGTGACCTAATTAGTAATGTAAAGGTGTTCTTTTGACATTTTCTGCATCTTAACAATATTGTTAGTTGATGATATAAAAATGATGGTAAACCTGTTATTGTGCATTGTGTAATAAAGTGTCAAAAATGGAAATAAACTCATATCTTTACAGTTTGTCAGATTCAATCATTCACCATGTTCAGAATCTCAGAATGGAACAAATTGGACATTTAAAATTGTTCTATTGATATTTTTCCTATGTCAACAATATTCTTAGTTGATCATTTAAAAACGACAGTAAATTGATTATTTTGATATATGTAAAAAAAAGTGTTGAAAGTGGAAAGAAATTCATTTCAGTACAGTTATCTCTTATGTACATTTTGGCATTTTGAAGTTGTGACTCTGAACTTCCATGGCCCTGAAGACCTTTCTATATCAAATTTTCTGAATATCCATGATACTTTTATTTTATTATTAAAAATTGGTCATTATGCTGTTAAGCATTATGTAATGTTGCATCAAAATTGAAGACAACCCCATTTTAGACAATGCCTCCATAGTGACCATTAAAGGAAAACCAAGTCACTTACTCTTCTCAAACTTACAGAAATGTAGCATAGCACTATTATTTATGGATTATTTAGGATTATTCATATCATGTTAATACAGCAAGATTAAAAGTTTGAATAGCAGCTTTATTGGAATTTTTTTTTTTTTTTTTTTAATTTCTAAACACTGGCATTTTCAACTCCCATCCACCTGAAGCTCTTCAGATTTTCTGTATTTCCACATAAGCAGTTGCATAGGTTTTTATGTCTTTAAACAATATGTAATATTTTTTTATGCACTGTCAACATTTCTCAAATATTGGGATTTTCATTATATGAATTTGAACTCTCATGGTCCAGAAACTGTAATCTTATTGCAGGGGTGGATTGAGGCCGTCTTCTGGGTCTTTCAGATGACGGTCAGATTTTAAAGTTTACATTGACTGGTATCAATTTTTTTTCTGTTGGAAGACCATCAAAAGTGGAGGATGGATCAGCAAAGATACTTTGGAATACTGTCAGAAAATATCTCTGGATCTGCTCCTGTTATTGACCATGTTACCTGTTGTGCATGATTAAAAATCAGTGTTAACTGACTATGTTATTATAAGCATTATTTATTATTGCATCAAAATTGACAAAATGACCTATTTTGCATCTTTATTTTCTGTTTTTTGTCTGTACATTTGACAGCTTTGCTGCCTTGTTTAATGTTATGAGTAATGTTAGCACATATTGTACACAGCAAAATAAGATTTTAAAAGGAGGATAAAACAAGCCTGAAACACGTGTTAGGCGAAAATTGCGGCTTATCTTGCGTAACACTTCCGGTAAAATGCAATACTTCCGGAAAGATGGACGTTTTGGCAGATGCCCCTAACAATCCGACGATATCAAAGGTTTCCATTTGCTGTATTTTAATCAATTCGACCAAACTGACATTTCCATGAAATTAATTAATTAATCTTGGTCGAATTGTTTGGCATATTACCGTAGGCACTGAATGGACATCTATCTGTTGTCTTCCCTAGCCAGAATTTAAATTAAGCAAAAAAAAAAACTTAAAGTAAAATTGTCATTTTAGAACATTTTATTCCACCTCCATGATATTTATATCCTTATTTTGTGCATTTGAATAGTAGTTAAGAACATATTAGATACAATACATCATTTACACTTTCATGGCATAGCTGTTATAAACTGTCAATAACAATTCAATCCTATTCCAGGAGTGAGCGTTTAGGCCAGCGAGGGGTGGAGGAGATCAAAGGTCACCCATTTTTTACACGGAATGACCAGTGGACGTGGGACTCCATTAGGAAAAGTAAGTTACAGTATAAGTCATATAATTATTTGACACAAGCTGGAGAGTTTTTCCTCACCTTACTTGAGTTTGCGGCCAAATGATGAAGGCCTTTGACCAAGTGAGTTAGAGAAGACTGAGTAATGAGCTACTAAAAATGTGTAGATGGGAACTTATCTATACCTGACATTCAGAGAAATATAAGTGCACCAAGTAGAAAATAATAATTTATTTTATAAATTAATAATTTATTACTTAATTCTCTACTGCTCATTATCATTATGTTAAGTGCATTGTCCCAGGTCCTCTTCTTCTAGCTTTCCCTTCTTGTTCCAAGATGTGATATCGATCCCACACCCCTTAATTCACTCTGTACATGTTACATGTTTCATTCCAGCTGTCCCCCCAGTGGTTCCTGAGTTGTCCTGTGATGTAGACACCAGTAATTTTGATGACATAGAGCCAGATGAGACGGCTCAGGAGACCTTCCCAGTTCCCAAGGCGTTTGCCGGGAACCACCTGCCTTTTATAGGATTCACATATAACAGAGCTTATCAGTGAGTTCTGGTTGAAGTACAATATTTTTCATTGGATAAATTATTCTTTTTGAGACAAATTTTTAAAATTGAAATTATTTGCAGTAGAGACAGCATTGGTATGATTTATAGCTTCATTGTTAGTAATTTACTAAACACTAAGCCAAAATAATATTTTTTATATTCCTTTTTTTTTTCAATTCAATGTTAGAAGTGCTCAGACTAAATGCATTGTGATGACCAGGAGTGAAAATGTGAATGGTTCTTGTTTTCACTCTCTTGAATACTTTTTTTAATTTCAGCCTACTCTCTGAAGCAAAAGCCTCACTAGATCAGGTAAGAAGCACTTACACTTACATAGTGTTCTTTATTTAAGTGATCATTCATGCTGGTAATAGTAAGCGAAGTTGGTGTTGAAGGGAGGAAAAGGTGTGACTGATAAGAGATTGAATGTTAAGTTAATGGGATAAAATGTAGAATGGGAATGAAATAAGTTCAGAGAATGAAAATAGAGTTGAAAGGCAAAGAGTGGGTAGAGAAAATGGATGGTTGAAAGGTGTGTTAAAGTATTTGAGGGCATGTCATGGGAGGTACGTTAGAATAATGTGGAAGATGGTGAGGGTGTATGAAATGATGTAGGTAAATAATGAGAGATGTGCCAGAAGGGGGTGGAGTTGTGTGAAAAGGTGGGGTGCATGGGAGGGCTGGCATGAGGGGTGAGTAAAATGTGACAGGGTAACTGTGCCATAGTGCTGTGAATAACAGATGGAGAGCTTGATACATGATAGGAATATTGAAGTAATGTGTCTAATGGAAGCTAGAGTATTGATATATTTGTAAGTCTATGCACCTGTATTATCTCCTATATGAATCTCCTTACCTTCTCTGCATTCCTCATTCTTCTATACTTTTTCCCTGCCCAGGTTGATGTAAGTATACAGCTACGTATCTTTATGGGTTCTGAAAGGTGCATGCTGTACATAGCTGTTGGTACAGATAGTATAACCCGCTTAGTAGCATGCATTTCTTGCTGTACAACACAAATAGATCAAAATATATTTTGGAAATTGTTGAAATCTTCAGTTTTTAGTAGCATTCATTGCCATACATCACTCATACATCAAAACACACAGTAGTTTGTATCCAAAGGTGTACCACTGTGTACTGTTGATTGACCTTTGTGATATTATAATTACTTGTTTCTATTTGGCTGTTTTAATTTAGCATGTCCTCACTGAAGAGTAGAAACAATATATGCATGAAAATAAGTGATGATTTCAATTAAACAGTTTCTTAATTGATAAATTGTAGAATAGTTATTTACTAATACATATTCTTTAAAAGTGCCACATATGGTAGTATTACAACATATATTTTAACTGAATAAGGAAAAAATAAGGGATGCTAACACAAAAGGGCATGGTCTCCAATAAATGATAGCTTTCAGTGTACAGATTAACACAATTTTGTCCTGATATGTATGTCATGTCCGACCAATTAATTTTGTTAAATTTGTGTATGTTTAAGTATATGTAATTTTAAAGATGTATATAAAATGAGAGTAAATACCCTGTAACATATATGAATTACTAGTTTCAGTTGCTTACACAAGGCACATTGAACCCACATGCCAAAAAAATTCAGAAAAAAAGGCTTTAAAACCAGTTCTTCTTTGGTTGTTAAATATGGTTTTCCTTTTCCTAGTATATCTGTGCAAATATCATTTTTTCCTGTAATAATGTTACTACTATTTGAAACACTGTGGTGCACTCAGTATGCATCTTTAATTTTTTTCTCGTCCTCCATGTAGCTTACTGATCAGAACTTGAACTTTGTAACTGCTTTTGCTAATATGGAAATATTGTTGCCTGTACTGTAATGATGGGTGTTGACCTGTTGTTGCATATAACAAGCTTCCAGGAGCAAAGTACATCATAATGTCCCTTGTTAATCTGGTGACTTCAGAAAGAGGGTCATGTGCCGTAGACATTGATACCCAGGTTTAAATACTGGGGACTCCATGGGGTAACCACACATTAAACCAATTATTATGTGCTAAGGTTGAGTGATGTTGGTTTCTAATATTCTATATTTGTACATGTCACTAAGTTATGTTGCAGTAGCCTTCCTATTTTATGATAAAATGTCAGTTTCCCTTCTTGTTTATTTTTGCTGTCTTTTGCCTTCTTCAAACTGAAAATTGAAATTTTTGAGTTGTTTCTGTAACATTAAAGAAGAGTGTTTTTTATCAATTTACAGACAGCTGCAGTTCCCTCACAGATGGTAAGTTTTTAGAACATCTACAAATATCATCTGTTTAGAAATGTAGCGATGATATCTTTACAGTACAAAACAAGTTCAACATAGGTCAAGTAAATGGTTTAAATGAATTAAAAACTAAGTTGTGATTTGAAATATTTTGTTATAATTAAAATGTTAGAATTTTGAGTAAAATGCCTCTTTATTTGTGCCAGTCCAATGATGTTGCCAAGAAGTTGAGACAGTTAGAAGACCAGTACAGGGCAGAGAGATCCAGTAAAGATGAACTGGAGAGAAAATACAGGTAAATACAGGGAGGACCTGAAGGTGGTAATATTTAATAAAAATCAAGCATTATCAGGCACTTGTCCCCTATTCACTGATGTATACACGTATAAATAAGAGTCTCTTGATTTCCAAGAACCCTAATTACCTGTACAAATATACTTGCAAAAAATGTAAATATATTATTCTCACCAATTCAATTTTGACTGCTTGACTTACTGATATTGTACTGATATTGTGAAAAAGGAAAAAAAAAGTTCTTTATTTCTTTTGCCTCTGCTCACAATTTAGAAAAGATAAATGCTAGAAATATCTGTCTATCTGTATTGTATCTCCAGGGCTGCCATACAAGATTTAGACAGATTAACATCAGATGAAACCGCATTAAGAAGACAGTGCAATGATTTTGAAAGGAACATGGCATTAATAAAGCATGATTTAAAGGAGGTGGGTAGGAAATGGATGTTTGCCCCTTATTTTACATGTTAAGATATTCTGTTCAAAACTGTATTTGCTAAAAGTTAATTTTCGGTTTATTGCCAGAGTTTAACCTGTTATACATTTTGTATTTGATTCTTATGAAGAATTTTGAATTCCTACTTTCTGCTCAAAATTTTCATCAACAGCTGCCAGCTCACCATTTCTAAGATGGGTAGAGTATTTTAGCATCTCGGTCTTCCTTTATAGCTAGATTTTCATTTTGTAAAATGGCTATACTTAGACCACCCATTTGATCATTGTACAAAGACTGTTTTAAAAATAACTATATTTTGTTATATTGTCAAAATCAGACACAAAGAAAGTTAGAAATAGAATCAGACAACCGTAGAAAGACGGAATCCAAACTAGTCGAGACTGAGAGGCAGCTTCAGGCGGAGACGGGGGCGAGGAGGCAAGCCATGGGGAACAGTCAGCACGTCAACGAACGGGTTACACAGTTAGAGAGACAGGTGAGGTCCTTGAAATTTAACTGATACTTTACTTTAAATACCCTTTGTGAAGATTTTCTTTTAGAAGTACATACTGATGGGAATGCAAAAGTAATGATTAAGGGATTGATATTTAGATATTATTGTAACATTGCTATGTTCTCTTTTTTCCAGTTAACTGAATTGAATGAAAAGCTCAAAACTGAACAAGAAACTTCATCAAAACTGAGGAAAACTTGTACTGATATGCAACAAGTAAGTCAATTAAAACTGAAAACAACTTACTACTGCTTTATTAAAAATCCTGAGCAGCAATGAGCAGTGTCATTTATTTCTTGAAACTTTGAAGCATCACAGAAGGTGTTATTGATCTCTAGAAAATCTGGACTTTCAGAAAAAGAGAACGGTGTTACTGGTTTATTAAAATTGAATGAAATAATTCAATTTTCTCTTGTAAAACATTGACATCTCTGTCATATTTCCTCCTTTTCTATTTCAGAAATGCAATAGTTTAGAATCTGGGTACAATGACTTGCAGAGCAAGTATAATGAAATCCAGTCAGTGAAATCTTCCCTGGAGAAGGAGATCTTCCACCTTCAGTCTATCATAGAGCAAGAGAGGAGCGCCAGGACACAGGCCTCTGAACAGAGCAGCGAAGTAGAGTGTGAGTAGTACGCCATGAAATATGCCAGATTCAAATGTCTATGTAAGACAATCTGTTGGAGTTAAAGAGTGGAATGGATACTGCAGTCATCATTGTTTTTGTAACAAACTGTAAGGTTACCATTAACTGTCCTGACCTAATTTTTGATGTGTATATAACACATAAGATATGGCAGTGTCGTTTGAGTTTATAAAAGCTGGACATGTTTCATGCTGCATTTACAATTTATATTTCAGCTCGCAATCGCAACCTCCATTCAGAAGTCCAAAGATTCAAAGAAAAAGAAGCTCAGATGTTAAAAGATAAACAGAAACTTTCCCAGGATGTCATAAATCTAGAAAAGGTAACATTTTTTTTAGGAAAACAGTGATAATATAGAGCTGGTAGTTTTAGCATTAAGAAATAAATTTTACCCCATGATCTTTGATAAGTTACTGCTCCTGTAATATAAAACTGCATGTTATTCGTAAAAATGTTGCAAGTGAGAGCAACAGAAATAGTATGAATCCATGTTATTTCAGTCTATGTACACAGTCTTACATTGACGTAGTTAGTAAAAATGTAGAAAATGACAGCAACAGAAGTAGACAATATATCTCTTAATGTTATTTCAGAGCCTATAGCACTATACGTAAAATGTGAAAATTTTAGAAAATTAAAGCAACAGAAGTAGACAATCTTTCTGAATGTTATTCCAGAGCCGAGCCAATGTAGAGTTGGAACTAAAGACGTACAGGATGAAGTATGACCAGGAGGTGCTGGCCCACAAAGAAACTATTGCCAAGTTTAACGCAGACAAGAAGCACATCCTGACTTCCACGGAGGAGGCAAGCAACGAAGCAATCAAGGGTAAAGTCTAGTTTTTTGTCGTTTGTCATCTAATATGTTTCTTTGTTTGGAATTTTTTCCCTTTAAATTATAATTAAAAAAAAAAAACATAAAGGCAATGATGTGCATGCATTTCAATGTTTTTAAAAAGGTTTTTAAAAATGTTTTAAATGGTGAACCTGGGTTTTTCATTACTAAGTAAAATTAAAATCGATGATTAGTCTGATAATCAGTCTGACATCATCCAAGCCCATGTTTATTTTGTTACAGAAATTCAGTTAAGTTTAGAGCAGGAGAAGTCTGCTAGACTAAAGGCTGAAGCTAAGTTATTAGACACAGAAAAGAGGAAAAGTGAGTTAACATATGATATGGGTCAAGTCAGGCAACATTTGGAGACACTACAAAGAGAGCTCCGGACTGAGGTAGACAAGGTAAAGTTATGTCTTCATTTGTTACCAAGGGTACACTTTCAACAGCATATTGTCAATGACACACTCAAATGCTACAAATATCAGTACAGTTTAGGGAAGTAGAAGTTGGATAGACTCCACGGTTGGTCTAAGGAAAAGTTGCAAATGCTAGGCATTCTCTGATGGAAAAAGAGAGTTGTTCTCAAAAGCTAGCCCAAAGTTGAAGGGGAATATTTAACTCTGGTTGATAATGATGTGCTAACCATCTTGCTTTTTATTCAGGCCAAGACCCTAGCGTTACAAGTAGAGCAGGAGACGCAGAAGAGAATTCTGGTGTCCAATGATATCAAGCAACAGCAGCAGTTAGTGGCTCAGTTAAGGCAAAATGAGAAGCAGTATGAAAAGGTAATACTTCGTATATTGTAGTTCAGACAGTACTTTCTGTTGATACTATGAACCAAGATGAAGAAAGTTTTTCCTTTTGACAGATTTGAGGCGTATTTAAAAAAAAAATTGAACATTCATATAAGATTGTTTGATTCGGATTTCGTCTGTAAATTTCAGTAGAATGAAGTGTTTTCCTCTTTTTCATGGAAATATATTGTACAAAATATATTTAGGAAATCACTGGACTGAAGCAAGACAAACGCTCTATGGAAGAGGAAATGAGAAAAGTGAAGGAGTAAGTAATTAAAACCCTTTAACATGCATTTGATATTGCATATGAGTAAGAAGAAAATTTAACACAAAGTTAATGGTGACATTGTTAAGTATAATAATGTTTTAGAGCTCTTTATGTTAAAGATCGTAATACTGTTTTCTATATTTCTGTTATAGTGAGGCTCATGTGAATGATCTTCAAATGAAGGAGATTCAAGACCAGCTAGAAGCTGAACAGTATTTTTCTGTAAGTTACAAACATTTTCAGAAATATTGATAATAAATAAAGCAGGCTGCCATTGTTGTTTGTTCAGACATGCATTGTGACTGCAACTATAACTATGTAAAATAAACAGCACAAGTGTATAAAATGTTCTGTGTCCAGTGCTTTATTGGAGTTTTAATTGTTTTCCAGACTTTATATAAAACTCAAGTTAGAGAATTAAAAGAAGAGATTGAAGAGAAGATCCGACAGTATCAGGATCTGGAAACACAAATACAGCTCCTGGATAAGGAAAGGTTTGTGGATATGACTTAACATTGAAAACTTCTTTACCGATCTTTTCCATAGCATTCACAGCACTATGAATGCCAGCAGATATTTTTTCTATACCCTCTGACACTGTATACCACACAGCAGCTTGAAAGTGGCAAACATTTTGACTTGATAGTGAACTAAAATGTGCATTTGTGTGGTTTCAGGGCGGCCCTGGATGCTCAGCTAGAATTGGCCATGGCAAAGGCAAACTCTGAAGAAATTGCGAGGAAGTTGGCGGAAGATCAGCTGTCAGATGTGGAGAAGCAGAAGACGATGCTGGAGCTAGAGATCAAGGAACTTATGACGAGGCATAAAGCAGACATGAGTAAAAAAGAGAGCACCATTGGAGTAGTAAGTTGTCTTCACTTAACAGTTTTCCTTCTTAAGTGCCCTGCAGACCCTATGGTGAGGCTAGCAGCCCTTTCTTCCTACTTTCTTCCCACTTTTTACATACAACCCAAAATCATGTCTGGTTTATTTTAAATGATTGATTTCCAGGTTATACTTCATCACTGTTTATAAACTCTTTTACAAAGTAAACACAACATTTTGGTATGTTTGTAAATGGTTTGAAAATGGTGGGTATCTTCTGGCATTTATGTTTCTTTTACTTTACTCCAGTTGGAAGAGTCCAAGAATCAGAATAGTAGAAATATAGACATTCTCAGTAAAGAGAAAGATGAACTCAATAAACAGATAAAGAAATTAATGGAAGGTGAGGCAGTTAATTTATGTTTAAATAAGGTTTTGATCGATTTATAGCACATCTGAAAGTAAAGCACTGACTTAAATGTAAATATTATTGGTATGTTTTACATATTTTTACTGTTGAAATATTCATCAGATGTTTCATGTTTCTTAATATATTGGTGGTAAATTTAGAATGTTCACATAAAGGTTTAATATGTAAGTCTATAATCTTGTATGTTTCCAGATGTCCAAAATATGCAATCTGACACCAGTAGTACTGACACTGAACTGGCTCAGTTGAAAAAACAATATGAAGAGGAGAAAATAAAAAAGATACAGGTGAACACAACTTTCTTTAGTGTATGTATAAAGAAAAAAAAATGATAAATATTGCAAAAGTCTCAATCTTGAAAAATTTCACTTCAGTCTTAGAAGTATTTTTCTCATTTTTGTTTTTCAATGAAAAATTTCAGGCTGTCAACAAATTAGCGGAAATAATGAATAGGAAAGAGTTTGCCGGGGGAGGGAAGAAAGACAAGAAGGTTAGCGCCACAGATCTCAGGAAAAAGGAAAAAGAATGTAGGAAGTTACAGCAAGATTTAAATAAGGTAAAAATCTCCAGTGTGATCAATGTGTGTGCTCTGTAAGTCTTCCAATTTTATCAATTTTGTGATTTCCTAAATTAATTTATAGATAAAATTTCATTATAGAACACAAAATTTTCAGGTACAATTTTTGGTCTTAGGTAATTTATAAATTAAAATTCGTAATTATACACATATTTTATTAAGTTGTCATAAATGTTTTAAAACCTTTTGCTATTCCAATTAACAGGAGAAAGAAAAATTCAATGAAATGGTGGCCAAGTTTCAAAAAGACATAACGGAGCTGCAGGCAGCCTTGTACGAGGAGGGTCAGCAGAGACAGAGGCTACAGATGGAGCTGGATGCCAAAGACAGCGAGATTGAGCAGCTCCAGAGAAACCTCACTCTCATGAACAGCGACACTGCCTCAGTCAGCAGCGGGAACGAACTTGATATGGAGGATGGGTTTCCAGGTGAGAGAGAGAGGAGAATTGATCCTCTTGACAATTTTGGTGATTAAATTATCCTGTTTATCTGCTTGTATTGGTATGTTCCTCCATGAGGACTTTTTTATGACTGCACATCTTTAAAAATGTTTTAAGCACTGTGCAGGATGTAAGTACTGTGTCCATGTATAAGAAAATTCCAGTGTTAAAGAAGTTTGGAATCCACATACTCTCAAACCAGTAGGCTGAAGCTGTGAAGGTTGAGTATGTTCTGATAAGAAAAAATGTAGTCTTCCCATCAGCTGAAAGGATACTATGCACTAATGATGGGGGATGATTATATTACTGATATATTATTATTATATTGTGTATCTCAGAGAGCCGCCTGGAAGGCTGGTTGTATCTCCCCAACAGACAGAACATCAAGAGATACGGCTGGAAGAAACAGTATGTGGTGGTCAGTACCAAGAAGATCTTGTTCTACAACTCAGAGAATGACAAGATGAACGCTGACCCTGAACTGGTGTTAGACATAGAGTGAGTACTAGATGTTTTACTTTTTGTTCATGTTTGATGTTTATTCCTCTGTCCTTTGCATTCTTGGTTCTTTTAAGTATTGGAGCTAAGATTAAACCTCACATAATGCACCTATACCTGGTAGGTAGTTATTCTCATCCAGAAATAAAGCCAAGTATTTCAAGTCTATTAAATATAATGGTTTCTTAATTTTATGTAATTTTTTTCCTCAGCAAACTTTTCCATGTTCGTCCTGTTACACAAGGAGACGTCATAAGGGCAGACCCCAAAGAAATTCCAAAAATTTTCCAGGTAAACCAGCAGTCTTAACCATAATACAAACCACAAACCTAGGGATTTTGTTTAAGATTAAAACTGAATTTCTCTTCTGTTATAATTAATATAGACTCTGAATGCTAAACAAAGGAAAAACTGCAGGATCTATCTCCATTTCCAGATTTTATATGCCTCTGAGGGTGAAAACAAGAAGCCGTTGGAGGGTCTCCATGAAATGCCCAAGCCAGATGATAAGAGCGGTGTTATCCATTATAAAGGCCATGATTTCATAGTGCTCCACTACAGAACACCAACCACCTGTGATTCCTGTCAGAAACCCACCTGGCATATGATACACCCGCCACCTGCCATGGAGTGTAAACGTACGCAACAACTGGGGAACACGTGTGTGTGTGTGTGTGTG